GTACAATGATCAGGGGGATGAATATAAGGGAACCAGCCAGTGATAAATAGTGCTGCAGACCGTAATACATTAGTGGAACTGCGATGGAAAACAATCAGATGAGAGTAAGGAAAGAAAACTAATTTTTTGTGAAGTATTCCAACCAGATTCAAGAGTGGATATTCACTCTGGCTAAGATATTATTAAGAGAACACCACAACATTTGTTCTAGTTTTGAAACCTTCGTCTAAACAACATAAGCTGAAGCAAACTTGCACTAACCCATCAAACTTGCACTAAAGTTCAGGGTCAGGAGATATCAATGTTGAAAGGAACGTTTTCAGCTATTATTCCCTGGAAAAGGAAGAAAAAGAATAGTAGATTGCATTACAAGCTTGTGTTCTTTCTCAATGCTATTTCCCCCTTACAGTGTTCATCTTTGCCTGCCACCTAAGTGCTAGCCCATATCTGTTGCACTGGTAGCGTTTGTTCCAGGGAATGGGATTTCAAGAACCCCATACCCATTCCCATTCCAAGGGTTTTTAGAAACCAATGGAATGTAGCATTTGTATTCCAATGGGAATAGTTGTCATTACCATGTATCATTAAGCTAGAACTAGAACATGGGAATGAGAAACCCACCCTTCCTTTCTCATGTTTGCACCTTCCAAACCTAAGAAAGGAATCTTAGACCCATTCCTAACCCCTATTCCAGCAAACAAATGCTATGAGAAATGGGAGTTGTTGCTTAAGGAAATCATGCCTCCCCTATCACAAGATTCAGCCTATTTTTTATTTACCTGGCCTTACCCATATTGAAGAATGAAACATTGAAAGTTTAGCTTCCTCGTACCTACTTTTCTTTTCCAGAGCTTTAAAGTACTGAAAACATAAACTTAACAAAGCACTAGCTTTGTTTCATCAGCATCAAATTTTTACTGGCTTTTAAACTTTCTGAAGACAAAATTTTGAATGACTACTTTTATTCCGATGCTAAATTTCGCTATTTTTGCTAGAAACCCTTTCTTTCCTAAACAATAGTATTTTAACTCATTCTGTCCCATGGTACTTTATTGAAAATCTCTTGCCTAGAAAATTAACTATACAACTATCACAAACAAAAAATAGCAATTGCCTAATCAACAAATTAATCCGATTTAAAGGTTAATCAACAAATTAGAACAAAACGAATGAAAGTAAACTAACCAAAACCCGGATTTTCTCTCAATCCAATCTTCATTGCAGACGGTCTCCCCCACCCTCCATGAACAGGTTCTTCACCATCTGGATAATTCATCTCTACATCTCTTTCATATTTCTCATCATCAATTATCTTCGGCTCAGCTGCTGAAGCAACTGGTGTGACTCCATGCCCATTCCCATTCCCACTTCCATTCCTATTCTCATTTCCATTGACACCGTCTCTTCTCTCATCATCTTTAGCACCCAAAACAGGCTCATTCTCAGTCCTCCTCCTCTTACTCTCACCCCGCACTGTTTCATCACTCTCATTCCTCACCCCTCCATGTCCAGGACCAGTAGCTGGCTCAATCTCAATCCCTGTACTGGGCTTAGTCCGGCCCAAAACCGGATCAATCTCGATTTTTGGAGACGACCCGCCACCACCTCTCCCATCAAAACCCGTCTCCAAACCAAACCCAGCACTATCATTTCTCACACTGCCACTAGTAGCTGTCTCCCCAGAGAAATTAGAGACAAACCCAGTTCTTTTGGCCCAAGATCTCAGCTCTCTTGGATTGTGATCCCTCCTCGGCACAAAAGCCGAGATCTTGGGTTCAACAGAGCCTATTGCAGCACCACGCCTCGGTCCCCTCTTTCTCTCAGCCTTGTCCATTGGCTCTGAGCTCGACCCCGGTTCCATTAAAGCTTCCTTTCAACTGGGTACCAGTTTTTTCAACAAAAATAAGCTTCAAAACTAAAGAAAGTAAACAGCTTGCCTCAGTTTCCTACCCAGAGAGCAGCACAAAGAAGAAGCTCAGCAAACTATAAGCACGAGAAGAAAATAAAGTATTCAATTAGAGAAAGAGAGAGGGAGAGTGAAAGCAAAGCAACAAAGAATGATTTGGATTTGTTGGGATGGGGAAAGGTGTGTGAGAGGGTGAATAAGAGAGCTTCATCTTTTTTATTAGTGCTAATTTCAACTGTAATGATGCGAGTAATGGTGTGATCGGGCCGACTGTTGCTTGAGATAAGTGTGAGTGAGCTTCATCTTCTTCTTCTTCTTGTTTTATTTATTTTTAATTTTTCCTAATCTGTTTGCCGCTCGCTAGTTGCTTTCAGTTTAAGTTTTGTTTCTTTGCTGAAATTACTGAAACGCCCCCATTTTCTGGCCGTTGGGATGGGGAAACGTAATGTACCAACAATATTTGGAGAGGAAGAATCGAACACAACACAGGACCTCGTACGAGTGCAGGGTAATTTTTCTTAATCACTTGAGCTACAAATTCTTTGTCTTTAATACTCTCATTTTGATCTTCACAATTTCCCTTTTGTATATTCCTTCACTTCCTCCTTGTTCTTTATTTTAGAGATTTTGAATCCCTCCAATTCACCAAAACTAACTTTTATAAAATTGCTTTTGTTTTTTCTTTCCTTTTATAAGTGTATAAGAGTTGGATTATCAAAGAAAGACCATGAAGTATGGATTGAATATGAAAGTTGAGAGTCAGGCCCATTCTGTCACCTTCACTTAGACTTTGTAGCCTAAAGACAATTAAAGATGTTATTTGTGAGTGTATCTTTTTACTTAAATACAATTAAAAGATTACTTAACTTTGTCGACGGTCACAAAAGGCAGGATCTGTTTCCATGCTTTATTCTATCACACTACCTTCAGTAGGATTTTTCTTTTTCTCAGTTGAGGAAAAGATATAATTGGCAACTCTGTTCTTTTTCTTTTGCTTCCTTTTATTTTTATTTTTGTTTCTTTAAAGTATGTTGCTGAGTTGGTGGAGTATTTTCAACAAGATGAGCAAGCAGCTTTCAACATATCGGTGGTTGCAGTTGTGTCAATACTTTGAAAATCACAGAAGGCCTGTCAATTGAGAGAGAGAATTCCATGAAACGGGAATATTCCCGGCCAATAAAAATATGACATGTTTGACAACACTTCCACATGGCATAAAATTATTGCCCGAAGATAGCAAAACAGTGTTATCCCAATCGCAACTAAGTTCTCTTGTCAAATGGGATATAAGTATAACTCCAACTTCAGGAGATATTATTGGGAGAGCAGAGCTGGAGATTAATGTTCAACCAAACATAAATAAATAATTTTAAACTTTGAGGTCAATGACAATCTTGCCCTCCTTTGATTGTCATCTCTATATCTAAGGTCCTTGGCTTAATCATTATCTCTCCATACTTGTGAAGGTTATCGTGAAGTAGAAGGATCATAAAAACGATTTATAAGATTCCATATCTTTCTTCTGGCCAACCAAAAAGTCATTTCGGCCAACAAAAGCAAAATCAACTGCAAGTCCTGCCAACCTTCAAAAGGAGAAAGTTTGAGACTTTTTGGTTCTTTGAATTCACTCGACTACAAAAGAAAAGAAAAATATGGAGGGAAATGATTCCAAAATCCACAGTGGATTGTGATGCTTAAACCCCCCAGTTTCACGATCATGGAAACCACAAAACGACATGCAGTGTAAATTACAATTTTACTAGGTTAGGGGAAAATATTGTAGCCTTTGAGCCATAATAGCCCAACAACACATTTCAACTAAGCAGATTCTGTTTTACCCTGCTGAAATTGCAGCTAACAAGCAGGTAAGCACTGGACTTTTGGCCATGCATTCCACTTCATTGTATCAGAATAAAGAACAGAAGACTGAGCCAAAAAGATAGAAATTTTGTTAACAGTAAGGTTGAATATAGATAGTAGATTCCAATTTTGATTGTTAATAGTTTCACGAGATTTTAGAAATATTAAGTTAGAGTTTATGTCAATCAAAACCGCACGTAAATTAGTCTATTTAAGAGAATGGAAATTTCACAATCTTCCAGTAAAAAAGTTCTACTTCTTATTCAGTTCCGAACCCACTTAAAAATATAAGAGCTCCAGTTATGAGAAAAAAAATATCAAAACTCTCAACAGGTTAAACTAAGAAGCTAAATGCCAATCTCCTTAGTTTTGTATCCACTATCCAACTGCAACCAAAAGCAGTCATAACTTGATTATTTTTGTTGAGTTGAGCACCATTTTGCAGATGTCTTAAAGTTTACATATATATAGCATTTAAACCTTAAATCTCATCCTTGTGCTCCCTAGTTTGGGGTCTGTTTTCTAATGAGATGACTTCTTGGTAAGTGAGATAATTTTCTCCATCCAACAAAAGCCCATTTCAATCCACAGCCATAACCAGTTCTACTGGTAACAAGTATGCCTGTGGGCTGGTTAGGAGATGCCAACCAACTTTCTCCCCTTTCTACAAAGTACAAACACACACACACAAATTCCTTTCAATCCATAGCATGTGTTCAAAGTTGGGCTAGAAAATGTACCTATCATGTTTGATGAAGAACCCTCCAGCTTTTCTCCTCAATTGAACACAATGGCAACTTAAAAAATTGTTGTCAATCCAAAATCTAAAATCCACACTTTAGTAGAAACAGACAAATGATTCATTAACTAGCTGCTGATCACTAACCAAATGAGCATAAACATACGCTCTCTAAAATGTATGAAATTTTGCATTCCAGTCTCTCCAATTTAACAAAGAAGTGAGCCAATGACCATACCCAAACCACCAAAATGAAAATCATGAAATAGAAAATCCATGGCACTAAAATGATTCCAGTATCCAAATTCCAAACAACTGCAAATCTACTAGTTGTTTTACACTAGATAACTATCCAAGTATATATCTTGTTCATCAATAATCTGCATCACATTGATAATAATGTCATGTAATAATACAAACACAAACAGGAGCTGATGATAAACCCAGAACCATTAAAACCAACCTAAAAAACAAAACAAAAAACGAAAAAAGTAAAAAGGGAAAACTATGAACAAGAGGTGTTTGATAAAATGCGCAAGAGAAAAGGAGGCAATTAGTGATGGTTTGGGGCTTTTTATTTACTTGACAGGGGAGAGGGAGAGAAGAGGCCAGATACATATTCTTGCTGCTCGCGGAAGCGACGTTTGAGGTAGGTTTCGAGGATCTCCATGACCGAAACGAATCGTTTCATCTCATTGAGGCGACGGCTGAGCTCTGCTTCCCGAGCCCTGGCTCGCGCCAGCCGTGCCTCCGTCTCAGCCAGGCGGCCGCGCAGATCTGCGACCACAACCGCGTTGTCGTTCGGCAATCGGACGACGCGCGTAGGGGTCAGGTTGTCTCTGGAGAAGGGTTGTTGCTGACCGTAACACATGATTTTTGCGTAGTGATGTTGCTTGATGCGCGATGTTAAGAATTTGGGAAGAATTTGCAGCGAAGGGAGAGAAGAATGAAAGAGTTTCTTTTGTGTGTTTTTGTCTGGGGGTTTTATCTGGAATCTGGACCGTTGAGTTGGAGGAACTATTCTGATTAGATTCACGGTAGACTTCTGTTTTTTTTATTTTTTTTAATTGTATTTATAGCAATTATACTCTGGGCTCGTTTGTTAAACAGGACTGCCTTGACAAGGAATATACTTGGAGACTGTCTTGGCTTGGCCTAAGTTGGATAACACTTATCATGCGTTTGTTGTATGCTTAGACTAGGACTATATATATATTATACCCATGTATATATTATAATATACATATATACACCTATATACATATATATTATATATGTATAATGGAAAACTAAATTCCATCATTTTAGAATTCTATGTAATTTTCAATTACTTCATCCAAACAAAGAAGTTCAATATTCCTTGGGTAAGAAAAGTTAAAATAAAGAAAAGTACCCTACATTAATGTTTTGATAACTAAAATAAAGAAAAGTCAAACGAAAAAAATTAAAAATTAAAATAGAAGTCGGAGCGTGAATCCAAAGAGGTTGTCACTGACTCACTATGGCCATCTCTCATCTTCTTGTTCAGTTCAGCCACAGACCCCTGTTGTTGTTGAAGACCATTGCAATACTTCAGGAACCTTGCAGTCACTGAAGAACCTTGTTTCCAACTTTGACCTTCACCCCGTTTTGCCCAACTATTGGGCACATAATCCGCCTTCAACCTCACACAGTCTGTAATCCCTTCTATCAATCCAGTCTGTCACCCTTTATGCCCTGGATACAAGCTATCAGTGAACTAATAGCAGTGTTTCTTACTAAGATCTTATGCTTAATAGGCTTCTTTTTTCAGGTAGTTGTGGAACTTTGAGTTGTCATATAAGAATGGGAAATTTTCTGAGAGTTTATCATGTTTTGTTTTTGTTTTTGAGTTAGTTTATGTGTTGGGTAATAGACAATGACGTAGCCATCATGGGGTCTTGGAAGCCATGGAAATGGCTGCAGAGGTTATGGTGAGCTGCTGGTGCGACCCCTTGGAGGCGCCTACTAGCTGCTCCACGAAATGTCTCACAATAGTAGCTCTGCTGCGCATCCTTTATTTTTTCAAATGACTTGGCACTAAAACGATGCCAAAAAGCCATTTTGTGCTAGGAATTAAAAGCGATGCCATTTTTAAAAAATGACTTTGGCACAAAAACGATGCCATTCAGTTTAGTTATTCTTTTTCTGTGGCCACCTAAAATTTGTTTCCTTTATTAAAATTTAAAAAAAACACTATGGATGCAAGGTTTATTCATGGGGCATGAGTTTTTGCGGACCATATAATCTTGCCTAGACAAATATACATCGTTAATTATGTCTTACCCGATTAAAGGAAAAAAAACTGAAAATTAAGTGCAAGTTGGAAATTAAGTGTAAAGAAAAAAAAATAAAAGTAAAGTATAAAGAAATTAATGTAGGGTAAGGGTAGAATAGGAAAAAGAAAGATAAAAAAAAAGAACAAAATTGATTAAAAAATATTAAAAAGCAAAAGGAAGTGTAAGTGGAAAAAAGGGGAGTGGGAAAATCAGCTTCCTAATATATAATATATATTACATATATTCACGTATACTATTATTATAATATGTATATGTATATGTGTATATGGATTTATTATAATAATAATATAAGTGTATTGTTGAGGCCCAAAAAAGTCACGAGCAGCCTAAAGACATTTAAGGCCCAATATAACATATAATTTTGGTCATGCGTTAATCCAAACTATATTTTGGGAATTAATTCATTAAATAAATAATAGTGTCCATGCCATGCAAAGCCAATAATACATTTTTCATATGTCAATCACCTATCAAGCTTACATGAACCCAAGTCATGTGGTTACGGGGCTTGCATGAGGGATTGTGGTGTGGAAGGTTACGGAGGTCCACAAGGCCCACGGAAGCTCTTGGATAATGGAGACTTTGGACTAGCTACTTGGGAGCACCAAAGTCCAAGCCCATTACTCAGAGTTCTCCAATGTGGGTAAGCAAATGAGATATTTTCCAAGCATTTCCTTTTATCCATAGGAAATAGTCATTTTCCAAAT